TTACGTCCTGCGCGAATGAGATAAGCATCGAAGACAGCCATTGCTCGCTGACAATCTTTTCCCAAATAAGGCTGTAAAAAATTGTAAACGCAGCCGAAACAAAACAAGAAAAAAGCAACAAACACCAAGAGATACCACTGATCAGGGTACCTTTATGACAATAGCCATTGTTCGTCACAGACTTTTCAGCCCCTTTCTGAAACAGTAACACTATGACAATGTTTATGGGCGTCACAACAAGCGCGCTTTCAATTCCAGTCACCACTTGTCTCCACGACATTTTCAGCGGTCCGACTTGGATAGGCTGTTCATATTTGCCTTCTAACTTATAGAACATCGCGTTAGCAAACATGGATGTCAAAAGCACTGAGAGGCAGCAAGAAAGCCGCTGTACTCTTGTAAAGCGGCTTCTTCTTAGCTTGGCTGCTACTGAAATCCAAATATGCCCTTCCGCGAGGCCTCTTCGCCAACGTCTTGCAACTTCATCGCTAAAATCCAGATGATTTGAGGTCTTGTCGATTATTCGCTCGATGCGCCCGTCACCGCGCTCAAGAGCAAACCACTGACTGGCCAAGAATTTCCAACACTTCCTGGATTGTACATCCCGAATCAGAATTTCCTCTAGGTACCACGAGGGATTATCTCCAAAATTATCATGCCCAATCTGCACTCTTTGAATCGAACCAAGTGATTTGGTAACATAAAGTACAAAAACATCTGAATTACCTCGAGAGAATAACACATCAACTGCAGCAGGCTCTTCTTGCCTAAGCTGAAGAATGCCACTCTTTCCTTCAGAACCGTATATCTCCAAAGCTACATGAGCAGTCGTGCCTGAGTTTTTCCAAGCCCCAGTAGTAATCACTATAATATACTCATATGTGCTACTTGAAGATGATGATGGAAGTTGGATCGGTAATTTCCTCTAGAAAAACGTAAAAAAGCATGAACTATTCACGCGGCTAGCTAATGTATATTCTTAATTCGCTTTTTTGTCCCTTTCCGAAAAAAAAAATCATGGTAAACCCTGAAAACGGTTTAATTTAATTGACTGTCACTTCACTTTTAAATTTTAATTTTTTTTTAGGATATGTTAAACGCGTTTAAAAGTTAAAATCTCGATCTCAACAAACCTTAAAAGCGAATAATGTCGTCAAAATTAAAGCCTTTTCCTCCTAGCCCTTTAACCCCTAGAAGTGATCAACATGTAATTTCTCCAACAAACATCTGCCTATTATTCAGGAAACAGGTCATGAGGATATTCAGACTTATCAAGTAGAAGTTGGTATCTTGATATAATATATAGATTTAGCCAAGCCTAAAAGCGGAGCTCGCATCTTTTTCTCCCCCACGTCTCAACGTCTTGCCCCGGCCAGGACTAGAACCCGGGTCGTCCGACTCTGAGCCCAGTGCACTGACCACTGGACTTCTGAACAAAGCCGTGGTGTTGCCCGCGGTCCATTTGCCGCGCATGTTAAAAGAAGCACCTTGTACGGTCGTACGGTCGTACATCCAAATTTTTTCGGCTTGATGGGTTACTACTATTTTGTATAATTATCGGGCTACGCTCTGCGAGCTCCACTATTAGCAAATGGTCATTACTTATTTTACAAGAAAATTTATAACAGCTGGAGGGGAGAATTGACAATCGGAGTTTGATAGTGAAAGGGCATGTCCTGTGAAAACAATGGTCCTAAGCAAAATCCGGGTCGACACTTACATTTTTCGCGTCTTCTTTGTCGAATTTCCTTACAATAACAAACGTAGTTGTATAACACAATAAAACCACCGCAATAGCCACAATTACAGCGATATTTCCAGTTTCTGGTAACTGCTGGAACTCGACTAGAACCTTGTCGAAGTCAATAGGATTCGGTTCAACTGAAAGACTTCCCCCAAATGATGTCAGGTGGCTACAGCTACAATTTAAGAATCCATCTAATTCTGCTAAAACCTGGAATTATAAAATTCAAGGAAGATATTATTAAGAAAAATAATCATTTTGGCTGTCACCATTAATCACATTGTATGTTTTCTGTTTTAAGGCGCTGATAAGCCCCGGCTGGTTATCAAATCGATTCGACTTTTGTCTGAAAATGTTCTCTAATCAAAGATTAGCCTGAATGCAATAACGAACCTAATGAGTAAAGATTATTACAATCGCACAGTAATTTTTGCGAATATTAATATGAACTGTGTTAAATACAATGTTAAATTTAGAAAACAGATTGTTCTGAAGATCGTTATATAATTTTTTCACTTACCCGACAGCCAGATGATATCCACTTGTCAAATTTTTCTGACCAGTAAACACAACTACCTAAGACCACCTTCAGAGTGTACTTCTGGTCTGTTGTGGAATCATAAACTGGCATCACAGAGACATTTTCACCCCGGGGTGGGGTGGGTGGTGGATCTTTGACTTCGACGCAGGAACGCTTTCTTCGCCTTCCTCCAAGACAAGACCTTTTATCTCTTTTGTGAGATAAATTCACTGTGGCGTTGTAATTTTTTAAGCCAAGAAAGTATTTCCCGGGACGCTCAGCAAGTACTTGTATCGGTGCATGAGGATTCAAGGAGCAGACCGTTTGTCCTTCACTTTTGTCATGTGCACTTAGCATCCAAACACACTTTTCGTCATGAGAGATAGTGGCATTGAGGTCGTAGTCTTGAGATGTTGGCCGCTGACCAAAACGCATATATGCAAACAGATATACGTTTGGTGCTTGAGGGTTGATTTCCATCATCAGCAAGGTGTTTCCA